TAACAAAAAACATTGAATAAAATGAATATTAATGTAATGTATAATTTAATGGTCTAAATTATTGTCATATCATTACAAATTGTTTATGATATGCTTATTCAATGTAAATCAATTGTATGGGCTATCAAATTAAACAACAATTTTGGTTATGTTTATCCGGGAGATTAAGTATAAATAATATACTGTATATTATTTAGTGGGACACTGGGACAGGAGGTTTTGAGTATATTTTTTTATTAAATTATTTTATGATTAGTATTTTTTTAGGCAAAACTAATATAAATTTAATGAAATAAATATCAAAAGCTAAAATATAGACAATAATTATTATTGCTATTTAGACAAATTTTATCATTAAACAATATGATAATAACAGTCTAATACTAGTATAATAACGAGTTTTGATTGTATCAGTAGATAAATCATTTGGCTAATTGATAATTACTACAATTATTATTATTATCACTTAATTTAATATCATTGTTAGTTTAACCGGTTTAATTAAGATTATTATTTGAGGTACATGTGTCAAAAAAATGTCAATATAAATAGCATTTACTTGTAAAACAAATAGATACAATAATAATAATATATATCATATCTAATCAATTAATTTTATGGGAAAGATCTATTATTATTAAACAATAAATATTTGTCAAAACAAAATTAATAATTGATTAATAAACTTAAAGTTGTCTATATTTCCAAATGATTAAGTAATTAAACAATTGTTGATTATAACATTACAACAACTAATACATTAACAAAACAATTAGCAAAAAAATTAATTAACAAATAACTAAATATCATACAAATTAATTGATTTAATTACTTTAATCTAAAACAAAATATTTAAGTATTTCTGGTGCAATTAAAATTGTTGGGTAACAACAATACACATATAAATAAATTATTTGAAAAAAATAATAGTACAAAAAGTTATAAATATATATACATTGTATAGTAAATTATAGTATTAATTGATAATATCTCTAACACTAAAAATTTGAATATTGAAACAATGTTATCATCATTAATGGAAAAATTTTCAATCAAAAGTCAAAATAATAATAATAATTTAATATACATGTACATTAAATTTTGATATAAATATTTCCACTGGCAAATTCAAATTTGATGTTAGTTATTAATTTATAAAAATGTAAAAACTTATTAGTATTATTTTCAATTACTGTACCATGTTAATACATTAAACACCCAACTATTTTCTAGCAAAAAAAATAAATTTTTTTAATACTACAAATGAAACTTTTAACTGAAAATCTAAGTAAGTATTATTGAAATAAGATAACAATGTTATAAGTCATATGTTATAATATATAAATTCAATTATAAATGACAGAGTATTTAGCAATATGTTTGTTATTGCTATCTACCGGTGCCCAGGTACTATGTACCTGTCCGATCGACATGGGTCTACCTGATGAATGTGTATGCGTCGACCGTGAGATTGCATGCCAAGGTCTGGCCATAACTGATCTTAAATTACTAATGAAAAACATTAGTTTAAAAGTGGCCGATAGTGACAAACATTTTAGGAGTTTCCTGTTGGACAACACAAGTGTTACCCATTTGGAGGCCAATACTTTCGGTGATATGACTTTCGATGCAATCGGTATACTATGGAATCTGGAGCTAACGTCTATCGATAGTCAATCGTTTGCCGGTCCGACAGCACTGGTAACCAAACGACTTAACTTGGAGTACACACCCATCGAAAATCGTGATGTCTATCACGCACTCAACACATTAAAACAAGTGGAAGTCATACTGTGTCAGTACCTGAATGTACCAGAGATACCGTCCCACGCTTTCAAAGCCAGTGTCGAAAATCAAACAAACATAAAGTTTCTGGGATTTCCTGGTGTTGGTATCAACAAATTAAGCGATTATGCTTTCTATGACTTAAACAGTTTAGAGGAACTTGATCTCGACTATAACTTTTTTGATTATATACCTGAAAACGCATTTTCATTTAGCCAGTCATCAAACAATACACTAGTAATCAATATGAGAGGTATAGAGGGTCTACATAGTGCCAGTTTTGCACCGGGATCTCTGTCTAATATAGGAAGGCCTACTGTTTTGAATCTAAAAATGAATGCAAATATTACTTATTTAAGTGAAACCATATTTAGACCATTTTTTAACTCACATTATCAAAATCGCATTGAGCTAACCGATAGTGACGATAATAATAAATGCGGCATTGATTGTAACGATTGTGAAAACCATTGGCTCTATAGAGAGCACCGTTACCTTCAAAGGACAGATATAACTTACTGTTCAAACGGTGCAACCTTTTTAGATAAATTAAATTTCCAGGATTGTCAAGGTTTCGATACGTTTGCTGTTAATAATAATAAGTTATAAATTACTATAATTTTGTTTTTTATAATTTATTTAAATATTTTGTATTTTATCTATGATAATACAAAATTATTATATATATATAAATTTATATATATACTGTAAGTAATACTGTATACATAAATCCTTTATATTGTTATTTTGTTTATTTCTATTAATAAGATTAACTTATATTGTTTCTATAAAAAAAATAATTTTTAATAATTTAATTGTTTAAATATACAAATTTATATAATGACACATTTGAAATGTGCCGGCAAATCAATTATTAACATTATTAATATTAGCTTATTTATAAAAAAAAACTCAATAATTTTAAATAAAAATACGTATTTATTTATTTTGAAATAATATTTGAATTAGTAATGTGGGAAAAAATTTAAAATTAAATTTGTTTATTTTTATGTAATGCTATTTAACAAAATAAACATTACAGTAAATTTAAATTACAAATTATATAATCTTTACTAAACAAAACAAAAAACATTTGATTTTGACAGACAATACATAAGTTTGTGTTTATATAATTTACGATATTTAACTGTATTTTATATAACAAATATTTAACAATACTATTGAAATACAATTATAAATATATATATATAAAATAAAAGATATTTTTATATAAAAAATAAGTATTTTAATATACAGTATATATATATATTTAGTATATAAATTCAATATATATTTGAAAATCAAATTAAATATTTAATATGTTGAATATATGTGTCACACAATTAAGTTTTAATAGCGAAATCAAAATATAAACTTTTTTTTCTATTGTTTTATTTTTAAATTTTTATTTTCAATAATTGGTTTCTTTCTTCCGCAATTACTTTTATCGAAAATTTTATTTTTCGTGTTATTTCAATTTATTTATTTTAAAAAAATATTAAATGACACACACATACTTACATATATAATACATATCTATAAAATAAAAAATATTTTTTAGTTAACATTCAATTTTTTCTAAATAATTGTTTTTTTGATTTATGATATTATTTTTTTTAAAAAAATATACCGTACACTGTGTGTACAGTATTTGAGTATATGTTTTAAATTATACTGAAATATACTATAATTACTTTAAAAATATAAGTAACTATAATATATTAAGTTTATACTCAAAATAATTATAACATTTTAGAGCTATAAATTTTAACAATAGCAATATATCTTTAATTAAAGTATTTTAACTTTATATATATATATATTTATCATAAAAACAAATAATTAATATCTACATAAATTATAAAATAAATTTGTAAATATTATAAAATTAAATATTTTTTATGTCATTATTTTAATAGAATTATTATAAAATATCAAAATATTGTTTCATACAAAACTTATATTATTTTTATTGGTATTAATTGTAAACAATAAATATAGATAATAATAAAACAATAGTCAATTGGTATTAAGTTATCAATAATGTTATGCAATGTCTATTCATAAAATTAGCGAAACATTAGTCACTGTTTTTTTATAAATACATTTTCAAATGAGAGAGAAAAAAATAAGTGAAAATTTATTTTTGTTAAAAACATTTCTTTTTTTATTAATTGTTTCGCTGAAGAAATTTCTCACACAATTATATGTTTTTTTGTACTGATTTTTCTATAACAACAGTATTGTTATAATTATTAGTTTATTTTTTGATGTCATCTGTAAATAATAGAGAGATTTCAACAACAGTTGAACAAAACAAAACAAAAAAAAAATAACAATATTTTAAAAACCCTATTATTTTTACTGTGAGTTTCATAACAATTTCATATAAAATAGTTTATATATATATATACTATATATGTGTTAATATTTTTTTTATTTGTGTGTGTGTTAGCAAAATGAAATCAATTTATTTATTTAGTTTTAGTTTTTTTCTAAACTATTTTTATTTCTATTAATTTTTTTGTTGACTAAATATATTGTTTTTATTATGTGTTCACACAAAACAATTTGATAGACAGCTAAACTTGATCTCATTGTCTAATTAAAATAGACAATAAACACTTCAAATATTTTAATTATCAAAGTCATTTAAAATAATAATAATATTATTATTTTTATTAGTATTTTTATTATTAAAATATAACACTTAATAAAAATAAATAGTAATAATAATAATAAATTTTTCACATTTTTCTATTGCATTGAATTATAATTTGCAAACAATTAAAGATAAAATTATTTGATAAAGTTATATTATATTACATATATTTTTTAATATTTGAATTATTTGTTACAAATATTTGACTTTGAAAATTTAAATACAATGTCAATATGTAAATTCTATAACAATTAATTATTAGTATCATATTAAAATTATGAATTTATTAATAAAATTATAATTATTTATTTTATATTATTATTATAAAAATTATTTATTTACTTATTTTTTTATAAAAAAACAATAGTTATTTATTAGTTCACATAAAAATTTAAAATCAATAACACGTTTTGATACTTAATAAGGAGTATGTGTTATACTTATTTATTTTGTTTATGATTAATAGTAATATTTTTTTATTAACACATAGTAATTATAAACAATAAAACTTTTAATTATATTAAAAAAAAATTTTTTCTTGTTTTTCCCATAGAATCATATACAAGAAGTATTGGTAAAATGGGATCAAATAGATGACGAAATATGGGCTAAAGTAATATGTATGGAAAGGAACCGTCGAGTGGCCAAAGCATACGCCAGAGCACCGGTGCTGACCGTCAATGGATGTGACAATGGTTTTGATGGCTATCGTATTGGACTCAATGGTTTCGATAATCCAATGAGAGATCCCAAGACTGAAGAACTTAAACGTAACATTGGTTTGGGTGTCAAAGTCAAGATGGATGACGAGGGAAATGTTTTGGTCAAGAGATTGAGTAAAACCAATGTTTATGTCAAGGGATGGACACGTGATAATGATTTGGATACCAGTGTTTCTGCGGATATCATCAAAGCTAACGGTTTGCTGGAAATCCAGAAGAGTGTCAAACTGTTTGATATGAAGAAGTTTCAGACAAATGTCTGTCGCGAACTCAAGAATGCATATCCAGACAGACGTAAACTCGAGGATCAGTGTATCTGTTGTATAGCCTTTGTTAAGGACGCCACAGATCTACTGGAAGTTCCCGTTTGGGTTATGATTATCAATATAGTGGCACTCGATATGCTCAAGTCTAAACTGCCACCAAGTATGTTGTACCTTGATCATTTTTTAAAGATTATTTTGTTTTTAATTTAAACAGTTTACAATTACAATTTAATAATTAAAAAATAATTTATAAATAAGTTTTAACAAATAATTAATTATTAATAACTATTTATATAATTTAAAATATTATTTATTTGAAGTTATATAAAACTTTTTTTTGATGAATGCTTATGTCATATCTAATATATAAAAAACAACTTTTACTGTAAATATTTATTTTTTCAAACATACAATATATAATAGTTGTATGTATTGTATTGTACTGTATTGTAATGTATTATTACATCATTTATACATTTATATTATTTAAAAATAATTTAAATAGTATAAAAAGATATTGATCAATTATAAAAAACAAATCTAATGATCAATTGTTACTATATTTATGACTCCCATATTATCTCATTGTACTGTATTGTTATTATCATGTTTACGATTAATAGTATAATATACTCTCATGTTAGCCTGGTAATTGATTTATTACATTAGAAAAAATATAAACAATATATATTTAGTTATTAGTAATTATGTAAAACATAATGAAAATAACTTTTTAATTCAAGATATTGTAGATAAAACCACATAATTTATAATCTTTTATTTAAATATAATTTTATTATATTGTATTTATTGGTGTATAATATACTATATATATACAATATATATAATTTACATATATATATATTATATGTTTATATAAATTATTTCATTGTTTTGGCATAAAATCTACTAAAACGATGCCAATATATCCAATGCAATTAATTATCTAATAATTTTTATAAATACCATTTTTATTACATCAGGAAATGCCAAATAATAATTATTATTTAACTAAATGTTTGTGGTTTTTATTATTATTAATATTATTATTTTGTTGCTATTGGACATAATGCCAAACGTTTAACTCATCAATAACTTTTATTTTTCACTTTTTTCTAACAAAATAAAATAATATTATAAATCATACATTAATTTTAATAAAATGTTAGCTATAATATTAACAACAAGAAAAAAGTTAAAATAAATTTATTTTTTAAAAATATAATATAAAATGTTAACAATATATAAATTATAATCTATTTAGAAAGCAAAATAATAATAAAAAAACTATTGGTTTATTCTAAATAATTGATTTTACATATATTTATAAAAAAAATTAAATATTTAGTTAAATAATAACATTTTATATTTTTTATTATTATGCTTAAATAAATATGATAATTATTGAATAATGGTTTATTTAATTAACACGTCAAAACATACAATTTGTAATTTTTAAAAATTAAATTTTTGTTATTTATTATATTTTTATTTTATTAAACTGTATATAATGTCTAACAAATTACATATAGTCGACTAATATATGCGGACACACTTCCTTAATTAATGTTATTATTATTATTATTATTACTTAAAACACATTAATTAAATTACAAATAATAATTTTATGCTGGTTAATTTTTATTAATTTAATAACTATGGTTAATATTTTTTTTAAACAAAAAAATTATAATTTAGATTATCTATTATAACAAAATATATTATTTAATTAATTAAATGACTAATTTTTATGTCAATTTTAATTATTAAATACTAAACAGTAGATAATCGTCGACCCAATCAATTGTCGGCAATGTTTGAACGGTCCAAAAGTTTTGTAGACGAGAACCCGTACGCAGCCATACCGTCCAATTCAAACAACGGCATCACTAGAAATGGCAAACACGGTATCCAAGATCGCAGACCTCCACGTCTACCGCCACGCGACGGATTGACCAGAAAACATGCGGTTCCGAGTCTACCGAAACCCGACTACGAGACTGATATTGAAAATCAATTGCAAAAGACATCGAGTGATAAAAACAATAAAAAATATGGTATAAATTATTTAGTATTAGTAAAAAATTCAATTATATATATAATTATTTATTATATATGTCATTTTATTTTATTTATTTTATAACAGAGGATCCATATTATTGTGGATTTAAGGCACGCATACCTAACTTTGCCAAACGGTCGGCCAATGGCAACAAGACAGCGCCGGCGGCAGTCACTAATATCAAACCTGAGCCGCCGATATTGAAAAAAGCCAATAGTAAAGGTCTATTTGGAAAGTTGACCGGTAATGGCAACAACAACAGTGGTAGCGGAGGAAAGGGTGGTCATTACGGACTGAGTCACTCGGAGTCGGACGGCTTTCTCTGTCGTATGAATGGCAGTAATAGTGTTAGCAGTGGTTATGTTAGCGGAAGCAATACTAATAGCATCCGCAGCAGTGATAACAATGATATCTATGGTATTAATAACCGAAAACTTAGTTTACAATCAAAGTATGGCTTCAATTTGAAACCAAATCAAATGAGTTCAATAAAAATGCATCAAATGTTTAGTCCCCGATCGGCCGGTCCCGCAGCCGGTGGTTTTGTGGTCGGCGATTGGGAGTAACTAATAAAATCCTATTTAATTTTACTGATTTATTGCATTATATTTTTTTGAATTTTTTGTTATATAATAATAACTATTAATTATACAAATTTATGTTTTTTTTGTAATAATAATATATTGCATATTGTATGTACTTAAATAATTGAAAATTTTGTAATATTATTATTTTTTTTATGTTTATAACTGATGATGATAAATATCATTACAATTGATTTAAAAATGCAACTTGGATAATTATGTGTTATTTCAATTTTAGAAAGTAGATTTTGTATAAAAGTTATTATAATTATTATTATTATTATTATTATTATTATTAAAAACTCGAAATTGTTTTAATAATATTTTTAAATGTTATTTATATATTGTCTTATTTAGATATATAATCAATTATTTTTTACAAATGATAATGTTTTTAAATATAATTAAATATAAGTTACATTACAACATAATGTAATATTTTTTATCTGTTTTAATGTAAATAAACATGATTATTTTTTATTATGCATTAAATGTTTTTCGAATTAATTTATTATAAAAAATTATAAAATACTAGAAGCTATGTATAAAATTAATACTGCAATTATTGACAATTAACTTATCAATTAATAAAATCGTCAAAAAATTTATGTGTTATATTAAAAACATTTATGATTTCTAACTGTTAGCTCATCAATATGTTAATTCAATATTTAATTGATAATTTAAAAAATTAAAAATTTTAGTAATTTTAGTGCAATAAGTTTTGTTAGCTATTAATTTATTTAATGTTTCATTTTATCTCAATAGATGTCAGCTCATAATTGATAATATTGTTTTTAATTTTTGTACTGTACTTAACCATGATAATTTATTTATTTTTATATTTAATTTTAAAAATTTATAGTACGTATTTTTTAAAATAAAACAAGTATTTTTATCTTAATATGTATAATTTATTTATGTAACAAACAAATTGTTCAATATAATTTTTTTTACTTACAGATCATAAAATTGATAATATTAAAATATTATAATCAAATTAAAAAATCAAATATATCATATAAAATAATTAATGTAAATAATTCAAAATTATTTCAAAAATTAATTTTTACAATTTTTTTAAATTCTAATTTTAAAATAATATTCGGTTTACATTATTTAATAATACACTATTAATATAAGTTTATATTGTTTGAATTAGTTTATAATCATATTTGATCATGCACCTTTTATAATGTTTGGGCAATAATCTGGCCATCCTATTCAATTGTCTATTGATAACTTGTTCAATACAAACATTTGCATAATAAATGTATAACAAAATAATTAATGTAAACAATTGAATCAAACAGATAATCATCCAATAACTATGACGTCCGACCACATCATAATCGTATTGATCGCCACAATGTTGTCGTGTCATTACAATATAGGGACCAATTTTGATGGCCGTCTCGTTAATTGTGATCACATTGAAACTCATAATTATTTTTAACAAAAATTTTACTTTTTTAAAATACCAAAAATAACCAGCAACAAAAAATAAAATAATATAATTAATTAAGATTTTAGATTAGAAGTCAAACTTACAATTTTATTAAAATAGTATAAAATTAAATTTTAACTATACTTTATAATTTTACAGTATATATTATTACTGTACTGTATATGTAATATTATATAATTTTCAATTTTGATTAGTTTATACAAATAACAAAAATCTTTTTAAATATAAACAATTTTGCAAACATGATCTCAATAATATATTTCTACTAAACTTATGTCTATATCATATTTATATGTTTGTATCTATATTTATATATTAAAACAGCTATTAGTGTCATATATTTTCCTGTTTTTTTTAGTTAACTGTATATTTTTTTCATATGATTTTGCTATTTAACATTGTCATTGTCATTGTTATCAGTTTAAATGACTCGGCTATTAGTTGGTTAGTACAGGAAATTTATTATTAGATTTTGTTGATATAGTTTGTATAGACTTTTATTATAGAATTTACATAATGTATTACACAGTATTAATATAATAAACTGATTCATTTGTAACTAATTTTTTTAAATAACTCTAATATTAAAATCCTAAATATTGTTATTCATAATATTGTATTTTAATAAAATGCTTTACATTATTTTGTATAATATTTTCATATACAGGTAAATCAATGACATTTTATAATATGTATTAAACGAAATATTTTTTTTTGTCATAAGTTATGTCTATGTGTAATACATATTGTGTAACTACTGTATGTTCAAAATCCTTTTACCTTCAAAATTATATCTAACTTTAACTTAACTTAAATCAATGGGAAATTAATTTAAATAAAAGAGTATATAATCCAATATATTAATAAATGTTTTGTCATTATTTAAATCACAATATTTTTTCCTATGATTACAATTGTGATTATTATTTAATTTATTATTAAAGTCACCTTTGTTTCATCTGATATAATTTCTAGTTAAATATCAAATAGTTTAGCATAATTTTACCCCATTTATAAAAACTTAATAAATATCAAAAATTAAATCTATAATATATACGTAAAATTCAAATTATCTGAAAATAGTATTTTAATAATATATATATATATATATATATATTATAATATTTGCCAAAAATTTAATGATTAAATTATATCAAAATATTTTTTAGTCATTAATAATGATAATAATAATAACAATAAAAATAAAATTACTAAAAAATAATATTAATATCTAAATTCTATTCAAAACAATTTTATAAGGTTTTGGATATTGAAACTGAACGGCAGTGTCAGGGTTTGGCTCCAGAAGCTGCTCCTTATTGTCACTGATTATGTCTTTTGGCAAAACTATGTCGTGACCAGCAATGGCTTGAATAAAACGGACGACAATTAAGAAGAGGTTGTTAAGCGCCAGTTTCTCGCCCAGACATCGGCGCTGACCAATACTGAACGGTATGAACGCCGCCGGACGTACCTTCAGATATTGACCTTCACTGAGAAACCTTTCTGGTCGAAACACTTCCGGTTCTGACCAATACAGCGGGTCATTCATTATACTGTGTTGATGGATGACCACCGATGTGTTGGCCGGTATTTTAATATCGTCTATTATATATATATACAGTATATACGAAATCATTTAAAATATAGTTTTATAAAATAATTACAAAATAACTGTTTCAATCATCCAATACCTAATTCAATTGTATGTACCGTTTTGTGTGGTACACCAAATGGCAGGACAGGCCTGAATCGTAGGGTTTCCGATATGAATGCATTAATATAATGACAATCATTGATATCGCGTGATTGAGGCATACGATCGCCTATCAATGTTTCCACTTCTTGGCGCAACCTTTTCTGTACGTCCGGATAGACGGCCATCAATAGGAGCATCCATTGAACTGTTATCTGTGTGGTGTCCACACCGGCAAACAATAGGTCCCATAGCGAACAAATCAGACTCTATATATAAAATATAAATGTTTTTAATTACTATAATTACTGTCATATGTATATCAAATAGCCTATACATAGTTTGATAGATAAACAGCCGACTCTTTTCCGTCAGCTATGGCCTCATTTCGGGCGGCAATCAAGGCGTCGGTAAAATCGCGGACAACTCCTTCATCGTATGTCTTCTCGTGTCTCTTGAACTGCCCGATCATATAGTGTTTGTAATGTCTGAAAATTTCATACATTTTTTTCAGCTCCGGTAGAAACAGGAATCCAGTTATCGGCATAAACTGTATGATTGCACCTCTATTGCCAAAATCAAACATAGTTTTCGTGATACTATCCAATCGTAAAAACTCTGGATCTTCAAATGTGTACCTATTTGTTAATTAATAGTCAATAAATACATATATAATTATAATGTTAATATTGATTAATTTCTGATATATTTTAGGTAAAACTAATAATAAATTACATATAATGTCATAAATAGTTTTACATACTTTTTGCCAAAAACGGAAAAACAAATGATATTATAGAGTGTAAGTTGAATGTAGTTAACGGGTGAAAATGGTTGTCCGATTCCCTCCTTTTTTATCATTTTATCAACAATTTCATCGACCATTTCACAGGTGACAGTTGAAAATTGGTCATTTGTGGCATATTTACGGACAGCCGAATGGGTGACATTGCGAAGGAAACGCCAACTTTTGCCGTAATCGGCAAACAACACATCGGTTCCCTTGTCGTTGCAAAACATTTTTACTAAAAAACATAATTTATATGATTTTTTTAATACTTTATTTACCAATAAATTTATTGCGATTAAGTCAACAATAATTGAAATTATTATAAATGCCTACTAAATGGTATCTGTGGTCTGCCAGCGAAAGCACTTGTATTGAAAGTCTTTTTAGCCAACTCTATGTCATGTATGAACACCATAGGATGGCTACCCAACCAAAATGTATAGACCGGACCATATTTTTTGTAATAATCATTCATATAAACCCAGGGATGCCGACTCGTACCTTTGAAATCTATATGATTATCATAAAAAAGATAGATATTTTTAATTTGAAAGATATTTTATATTAACTTTTTTTGAAAGTATAGTAATTGTATATTATATAGGATTTATATTTAAATACTTACTCAATATATTACCCAACACTGGTATAGGTGTGGGACCGGCGGGAAAGTGTCTCAAACGAGTATAATAATAATATTTTAAATATAAAATTAGATAAATAATTAGATAACACACAATAATAATGAAAAATTCAATCATTTCGCTTTTTTGTCAATTTAGTTGTTACAAACAATTTGAATAAAGTTTTTTAAAAAATTTGTCAAACAACCAAAAAACACTTTTTTGTATAAATATTTATATAGAATTTATTTTATGAAATAATTATTTTTATTAAAATCATTTATAGCGATTTTTTCTAGCATTAGATAAATATAAAATATTTCAAAAAATTAATTAGTTTACAATTGTTTCCTCCGATGATTATTGACTGGCAATAAATGTTTTATTTAATAATCGACATCACGCTATGATATTTTTTCTGGACAAACAGTTTGAAAATTATTATTTTTCTATACATATATTTTTATGAAGGACAGTAATACTAATAATTTTTATTTTATTTAAATTAAATAATATAAATAACTTAATATAGTTTCGAGAGAGAAAATGCAAAATAAAAATTAAAAAAATAAGTTATAGTTAAAAATCTAAATCAATTGACTCTCGGATTTAAGATTATTATTAATGCATGTGTTTTATTGTGTATTATCTAATCTCAATAGTCATCTTAAAAAACATAGAGTTATTTACTCACAATTGAAGGGCTTTTTTGCTTTAACTGGAAGATCACTAAATATACAATATTTTTTTCTAAATGAAATCTAATTTTTTTCTATATAAATGAAATAATAATATTTTCTAGTTTACCATTGAATCTCAATGAACATTATTGTTATTTTCATAAATGAAATGTGTAAACCAAATAATATAATCTATAATTGAAAACAATACTCTACTATTATATACATAAGCTTACAAATGTAGCCAAATTTATCAAACAAATTGTTAAATGAATTTATTTTTTTAAATTATTAATTAAATCAGATAACAGCAAAATATTTAGTATACTTTTATATATATCTATATAACAACTCTATATGAATAGAGTAATTATAATCATATAAATCATTAAATTATATTTCAAGGTATATACAATTTTTTTCTATACAATCTATAATATTAATAGTAGCCATATAGATAATTAAAAATAATTAACTTATTAACATGTTTTTATAAATGTAAATATTATCTAGTATAGATATGCCCATATAACCTTTTTTTTGCAAATAATCATGATTGTTTATCTACAAATTAGTTTATTAACAATTTTGTCATAAACAACCCCTAAATATAATTGGGTTTTTATTGACAATACATATATTATATCTACAATTTTAATTTATATAGTTTTTAATAATACAATAGATTTTTTATAATTTAACAAATATTTACTAAAATAAATCAATTTTTATCTATTATATAATTTATAGCCTATAAGATTTTTAAGGCATTTGTTTTAGCTAACCTATAGTAAAATTTATCAAGGTTAACTATAAAAATCTTACACTGTATTATCCAACAAAAATCTATTAATCCTCTTTCAAATTGATTAATGTGTTGATTAATAATAATTTAATAAATTGAAATCCAATTTAATTTTCATTAACAATAATTAATCTTTCAAAATCTTTAATATATTTTTTGTAAAATATTTTTTAAAGAAAATATTATATAGTTTTTATAATGTCTGTTAATATTTGTGTTTTAGTAAAACACCGATTATATAATACTATTGAAACTTATAAAAATATATAAATTTTTAAACATAATACTTTTTAATAATATTTATTTAGACAGTAATATTATGAAATATAATAATTTAATTTAAATTTATTTATGTAATGTTAGTTAATTAAAATTTTGAAACGTGTATTAATAACTTAAATAATTCATATAAAATTTTAATGTCCTAATTAAAAAATATTTATTATTATTATTATTTATCTAAAATTAAGTGAATAAATATTTTTTATCATCATTTTTTTTATTTAAAAAAATTGATTATATTGTGCAACTCAACAATTTATTTAATAATGTTTCACTTATAAATAATTTGATAATGATTTAACATTTATAATTATAAAATTTATTATATATCGCAGCTATATGTCAACAAAATTTGGGACATTAGTTGGGATTTTTTAAAATTTAAATACAAAACTTTTACAAAACTTTCCTTTAGTTATTAATTAAATAATTTTTCCCAAAAAATCGGGTGAATAATAATATTAATAATATACTTATAAAAGTCTTATATAAAAGTTTGTATAAATGTTTTTTATTGAATATTTAGTGTTTAAACTCGTTATTGAATTGCATTTGTCATTAAAAAAAACAAATGATACAAATAATTAAAATCATGTATTGATTGTATTACTGATTACATGTTGTTTTAATTATCTTATATCTGTGTATTTCAAATTTTAATAATTTTAAATATTTTTTAAAAAAAAGTTAATATCAAAATAAAAATAATATCTACAATAGTTATTTTTTTATATAAAAAATAATATTTATCAATAACATTTGTAATAATGTAAAATGTCGGACTGTATAAACTTTTAAACTGTAAAAAATGTAGCAAAAAATATTGATGAAAAGTTATTTGAAATTTATATAAAATTTATAAATTTAATTATTAAATTAATATTTTTTTTAATAAATAAATTTAAAATCAATATAACTCATCTGAAATGTGATATATATGTATAAAATAAACATCTAATTAATAACTAATTAATGCTAAAAATGTCTATCAGTTAAATACTGTTTTTATTTAGAAATAGTTTCCATTATTTTTTAAACATGTTTTCACATATTTTCAAAATTTATTTAATTGTGATTCTGGTGTTGTTTGCTGGTAATACCTGTGCCGCCGATGCCGGTGCTAATATGGATGGCAATAGTGTTGGTGATAATTGCCGTCCATCTAATTCACCCGATAGTGTCTATTGTCAAAAATCAACTGTCAAACAGGTGTCGACAAATATCTATGACTTTATTGCCAGTTATGACTATTTTGAAAAACAATTACCAAAATATCTGATATCAAATGAATTCATGGATGAAATCAATGAATTGTCACAACATTTATCACCGAAATGTCTTTCATCTGTTCACACTATTGTCGCGGCTCTCAAACACCGGGAAAAATGGGCTCTAAATTGTGAGTTATTTTCAATTTATCAAAAATTTTACAATTAATTACTTTTATTTCTTTGAAATTTAATTAAGTTATTGAATCTATGGGTTCAATAAGCAATGGTATTGCACAAGAAGTGTTGACCAGTTTTGGTGATTATGACAAATGTCGATACATTGACAAACACAGAGACAATAATGATAATCAAAGCATTGGTGGCACTTATTATATGTTAAAAGTTGATATACCGTTATATTCAACAGTAAAAAACTATGAAAATTTGCCCGAAATGGCCATAAATCAGACACTAATTGCTGACCACAGAGTTATTGATAATCTCGAAATTGTGGCCAAAATTAATACACGAATTAACAGACAAGAGACTGATAGTGTCTTCCGATTGGGTGTCTGTTTGCCATCAGATTGTAGTCTCAATGATGTCCAGACAATGATTGATAAAAGTTTGTAATATTATTGATGATTATTATTATTATTATTATTTACATTAGTTGTTTCTAATTAATTTAAATAATTATTTAATTTACTTACTTTCGTTATACAGTTTTATTGTTAAAAATCAACACTAATGTTGACTTTCAAAGTGATTATAAATTGCAACAAAAAATGACTGAATTTGATGGCTTTCAACTCTTTTCAATGTATAATCACAACAATTATTTAAAAATTTTAATTACTTCATAACTAATTTGTTTTGTTTATTATTTTAATTATACAGTATATGTCTTACAGTTTTGTCAATTTTAGTGATTTTGGGCACATTTTTTGAGCTAAAATCTGATCAAACATTGGGTACTAATGAGACACTATTGAAGTCTTTTTCGGTGATATCCAACACAAAACAGTTGTTCACAAGTCATCAAAAATTTGTGTCAATTAATTCGCTAAGACTTTTGATGACAATTATTGTTTATTTGGCACACAATTACATATTTACGGCTACTATCGGTGTCCATACTATTCACGGCTATATGTCTTGTATACCGAAAATATTCATTGAAGGCAACAAACATTTCTTTATCAGAAGTAATCAAGTGATCGATGCTTTCTTTACATTGAGGTATACTATCACTACCCGAGTGATGGTTGGATGACATAAAAAAATTTGCTGTTATTTTATATTTGTAGCGGTTTTATGCTATCATATGTCTTGTTTGCCAAACTGGAAAAGTCGTCGGGAAAATTCAATTTCATTGCCTATTCAGTGGAACGGTATATACGCTTCTCTATACAAATGCTCGGTTCGCTACTATTTATTTATGTGTGTCCACTGTTTATACCGTCGGCGCCGCTGATGGCCGAAGGTCTCAATTGGCTGCTATTCAGCTGTAAAAGTAGTCAATTAAGTCATAGTTTTATGTTTGTCAGCAATTTTGATGATGTGATTACTGAAAACTCGTCACTCAATATAGTAATATAGCGATCATTATTATATTATTATATTAATAATTTATTATTTAGTTATTATTTTAAATAAATTATTAATAATAATATCAATTTGTATTTATGTAGTGCAACGTCCAGACATGGTTTTTGTCGGCCTCATTACAGTTGCATATAACGGCACCGATACTAATAATACTATACTACAAGAAACCACAACTAGTAAACCATATAACTGTTTGTGCTCTAGCATTGGCCACTGTAGTCAATATCGGTCCCTATTTGATGACTGATTTGAAGCCTTACTTTCCGATCACTACAGATACGCCAGTGGAGAGTCAGTTGGCAATTGTTAAATGGCTACACTTTACCACTAATGGCTATTTGACGCCATTTATTATTGGCATCTATTTTGGTTATCTGTTACGAAAACAGACAGCTTTTAGGCCAAAGCTAAACAAATTTCTATGGTTTACAAGTTTGTCATTCATAGCGACTGTCAATACTGTCAAATGTTTGTATTTTTTTCCCAACGAAAGTCCATCGCAACCATTGATACTGTTATGGTTTGCCGTCAGAAAAGTCATGTCCGGTGTTGGCTTCGGATGGTTATACTTTGCCCTGTGCTCTGACACTAAAAGTATTTAATAATTTAAGTGTTAATTGTAGTATCTGTTTATTAATTACTATATTTTTAAATATTAAGGTATTGTCTCAAAAGTATTGTCATGGAAAGGGTTTACACCACTGGCCAACCTATCGTTTGGTATATATTTATTGCATTTAATATTTGTTGTCAATCGGGTATTTTCCGTGAAAGATACTATTAAAATGACCGACAATTTAATGGTAATTATATTATTTTTTTTATAAAAACTTTAAGAATTTTTATTATTTATGCTATATTTACTGTAAATTATTATTTTTTTAGCTAAAAAATTTCTCAATTGATTTACTTATGGTAACTGCGATGTCATATATTTTTTACTTATTATACGAGTGTCCCATCAATAATATTATTACCAATGGTATCAATAAACTTGTCATTAAATATAGCAATAGTAGTAGTAATAGTAATAATAATAACAAAATTTCTAATATTGTTAATAATAATTATAATAATAACAATAACACCAGTAATAACAAAAAAATAAAATAAAAATCATTGAGTGTTTTTTGTTTTTTTTTAAAATTTAGATATAAATTTTTTAAATAGTCATTTTTCTATCTATAATATTTAACATTTAATTTTATTCAAGTAATTCATAAATATTTCATATATCTATCTTAATGTACAATTTATATAAACATTTATTATCGTTTTATAATTTTAGTTTTTCTTAATTGATTGTTATAATAAAGGAGAATGTAATTTATATAATAATTATAAACAAATAATAATTTTTGTTAAACAATTATTTTTTTAAAATAATAAATTTATTTTAACATATTTAGTTACAATGAATTGATTAAATTATTACACAAAAAAAGTTTAAAATATATTTTAATCAATGTATGTCTAATGTAGTGTAAAGTCTTTAACAATTTTTAGAAACAGTATCGACAAATAAACCAAAATCTATATAATTATTGATATTTTTATTATTATATAAATAATTAATAATATTAATAATTTTTGTTTGAAAAAAAAACATTTACTTACTTCATATGAACGAAAATAATTTATTATAAATAATTTCCAACACGAAAAACCAACCTTTCGCATACTAGTCCTTTCAATTAATACCAATAACTATATAAATATTATATAATAAAAAATAATTTTATTCAATGTTATTGAATAATTAAAGTATTATTTTTTCTTAAAAAATTACTTTGATTTTATGTTTGATTTTAATGGTATTCATAATGCAAACAAACAAATGATTTAATATTTTAAACGATTTGTTGGCTAATGAGTTGACCGACGCTGAAGTAAATACAATAAATATGAAAGCAATGGCAGAAAATGAGAAAACATATATTAGGATAACTTTTGGCACTGTATTCATAGGTATAAGACATATATTGTAGAGGAATATAACATCAGACGTACCAAAAGTTAGCCAAAAATATAGCAAAAATTTTGACCAATAAATAGTATTGTATTCATTAATTTCGGCAAACAAACAGTCAAATGATGAGATGAGCTCAGGTATCCTAAGCCGATATCTAGATTTGCCGTTTATATCAATTTGTCGATAAAGTGATTTCAATTTATACCGTAAATACAGACATAGGATGTAATAGTAAACTATCTGAAAGGTAACGACATTCCACCAGTAATAACACCAAACCATGAATAGCACAATATTGGGAATACCATAGAGTAGGGCATATCGGATAGGCATAACCATCAGATATGGCACCATAATAACTAATACAACCATAACCTGTATAACTAACTCATTGTTAAGTCTACAGTTCCAACACAAGTATTGCATTTGTTTGACTAGTTTGACAATTTGTTTGCCATCTGTTAGGCCTACGCTGACCGGTGTCACCAAACCGGAAATCATATGAAAAAAGTACAGAAATGTTGGTTTTATGTCATTCAAGTGATTCATATGAAATGTTAATTGCGATAATATTGCCAATAATGTAACCATTATAAAGTAGATATCGTTAATAGTTTTGGCACCAATAAAATAGCCCCAATCGCCAAACAGTGCAAACATTTGCCAATTTTTATCATCAATAAATAGACATGTAATTCGTTGCATTGAAAATATTACAAATATAACAAACATAAAAATTGGTTTATTAAACCATTTGCGCTTAATTTGATTGTTTCCCATATTATCGGCACTCAATCCGATACGATATAAATGAAATGCAGCCGATTTGTAAGCTATATTAGGCGGCAATCGTTTAGTTACATCCAAATCACTCATTATAATTAATTATATTTTTAGAGAGAGAGAGAGAGAGAGAGAGAGAGAGAGAGAGAGAGAGAGAGAGAGAGAGAAGTAATGTTTTAGTAAAAAACAAGAAAAAATAGTTACTTAATATTTTATTTTTGAAATTAAATTGTATTATCTATGACTTATACAGTAGATTTGCACCAAACAATTTAACAATTATACTGTATTTAATTATTATTATTATTATACTGCACTAAAATAATTATTTTTTGAATCAAGTTCATTTCTAATTACAATATGATTATAATGTTATTTATAATTTAATAGTTTATCAATAATTAGCAAATAAAGTTGATATATTTATTTGAATAAAAATAGAAATTATTCTTAATTATATTAATTAATTATTTTAATAATTATCAAATATAATAACTTAATATGAATAATTTCAAACTATTTTTAAGTCAAATATTTTTTTTTATAAATAAAATGAATATTTTTATTAAATTGTTGTATCTATAAATACATTTTATATATCATAAATGTATATTTTTTCTAAACTATTGATAGAAATATAGTTTTGCACTAATTTACAGTATACTAATCTAACTATAGATTATCAATTATGATTGTATTTTTATTAGAAAAATACAAAATTAACTTGTATTAAGATATTTAATATAAGATCAAAACTAATAATTTATTAATTATAAGCTAAAATTAACAAAAAAGTATACTAATATTTTTGACAAAAGTGAAGTTATGGCCGAGGCTCGAACCCGAACATTACTGCTCTGAGCTAAACACTCTACCACTTCCCTTACGTCTCTGTGTATTATATTATATAACACTTACTGATATAACTCATATTAAATGGTTTATAGCAGTGATCAAAATTAAACTTTATAAAACAAAATTGTACAAATAACCTAGTACATATTAAATGAGTAAGTGTTTGTCTAACTTACTCATTGTTTGTTATAAATTATGAAAATTACTATTAAATATCTGTTAAATTAGTTATGTTATATAAGTATCACAAAGTTATCATGATAACACTTAATTGTGATCACTGGTTTATAACCATATTATAGCTAATGTATAGAAATAGTTAATTATATAATTGATTTTTTACACATATGTTATATTAACGACATCAGTTGTTTCAAATTGTATTAATTACTAATTGTATTGATATAAACTACATAAATAACTATCAGTATGACGTGACGAAAGTGGTAGAGTGTTTGTCTCTGGGCAGAAATGCCCGGGTTCGAGCCTCGGCCATAAGCTCACTTTTGCTAAAATAATTGTCAATTATTTTTTGTTTAATTCAAATTTCAAATTGTATAGATTGTACAGTACAAACATTATTTATTAATAAAATTTATCTATTATTTTATTTTAAACATAAAATTAAATTCTATTAAATTGAATTTTATATAACTAGTAAATTGTATAGAATTATTATATTTTAATGATAATAAAAGCATAAAATAAATTAAAAACATTTTTATAATGTAATAAATCATAATTTAAGTCAACCAACTTATAGTATGGTATATAACATAGACTACATAAAAATGATTATACAAATAATTATTAATTAATTTTAATTTTAATACACATTATTCATAAACATTATAAACTAAATAATAAATGCTAAATATAGCATTTATTTCAATTTTCTTATTATCCAGTTTCATAAATATTTTTTTTTATTATGCGTTTAACTAAATTTCAAACTAATCTACATATTTCTCATATAAAACCACCTAAAATAATGTGATAAAATAATGCTATAATTAAAAATTTCATATTTCATAAAAACGTGTTGAAACTTTTAGCGCAATATTAAACACTAATTTGTGCTCAAAATAAAAAATAATTAAAAAATATATATAATTTTTGAAATTATTTTTATCTTGTTTTTTTGTTGCTTTGATAATAATTTAAAATTATGTCAATTTTCATTAATATTGTTAGACATATATTTATAAACAATATAACATATATGCATTTGTTTTAATGTGCATATAATACTAATGAATCATTAGTAATGATAATAATAAGTTTTTTTCACAAAAAAAACTAGAAAAATGTTATATATTTTGTTGTTTTTATCTGTTTTTCAGCAATGGTTTGTAGTGTAATTTTTGTTGAAAATAACAACAAAATTATAGCCAAAAACCATATTAGACAACAATATCTGCTTATAATATACTGTATAATAATAACTTATAAGTTATATTTTGTAAGTAAAATACAATATAATAAATATTGTTATATTTCAATTTAAGTTTTTAAAAATTATTATAAAACTTTAACCTAGTTTTTCATCTCAAATAAAATAAAAAGTTAAGACCAACGATAACAATACAAATAAATGCTTCAAAAAAAATTGATAGCAATAATACTGTACCAGAAATAGTAAAACTGATGACTACTCGGTTGGAGGTCTTATATGAGAGGTTTAAGTTTGGGGTAATAATTGTGAGCTCAGCTGTAAAACTATATATATATATATATATATATAAACATCAATGAATTTCCTGTTGCCTTATATATTGACTAACAATAGCCAATTGATTTTAATTGATTTTTACACTAATATTTTCTCTTATTTTGATAACTATATAAAACTTTCTTAAATCTTTTTAATAAATTATATAATATTAATATATACAGTATATATATATACGCAGACAGTATATTGTATTAGTAATATTGTAATAATAATAATAATAACAACAATAATAATAATAACAATACAGTACTAATAATAATGCTTAAATATTATAAAAATTTTAAACATGTACTTATAGTTGATAAAAGAGTTAAAATATTATTATATATAAAGATTTAGTTTTAAATTTACATTAAAACCTCTATTAGCTCTCTCTCTCTCTCTCTCTCTCTCTCTCTCTCTCTCTCTCTCTCTCTCGACTTTTGTAAATCTAAAAAAAAGTTTGAAAATATAAGAGACCGGTCATAAACAAGGACTGGTATATTATATACTATTATATACAGTATTATGATAACAACACTACCACTCTGTTTGTATGTGTGTGCGATAAAATTGGTTTCATTTGAAGAGTAACTCTCGTTAAAACCGGTCTATATATTAGACACAATATATATTATGAGAAAACTTTTTGATTATATTTTTTAGTAAAAATTTATCTATTTTTTGTGTGAAAGCTTTGAATAGTATTATATTATTTTGTAAATATTACAAATCAATATTTTTATCATCAAAATATTTTTATATTGTGTAATTATTATAATCTTTATCTTCAATATATGATTTTAATCTCAATGTTACTAAAAATACAGTATGTTTTATATATATGTATATAATTTTCATTGACTTACATTTGAAGTTTTAAAAAAATCAATTACAAAACAATAATTATTAATATTGGAAAAAATTAATATATTGTTATAAAGTTTATTTATATATAAAAAAGACTTGGATTTTTAAAAAATATATCAAAAAATTATGATAAGTCGACGTAAAATACTGTATCAAACGGGTGCTGTCGGCGATGGCCAGGAGTTTAGCGATATCTACCAGTGCGACGGCGATGTTTGGTTTAGTTTGAATAAGTTTATTGAGGTTTGTTTTACACCATATTTACAATTATTATTTATAAAATAACATTTAGCTATAACATCAATATATTATTTTATACAGTATATACTGTATATAAGCGCTAATTAAAATGTTATCTAAAATAATTAGTCAAAAATCATTGACTTGACGTGCATTTAATTTTACTGTTTTTCAAATTTCAAATCAATTGTCTATAAAAAAAATATTTATATTTATATAATTTTTTCTATAAGCTTAACAAATCAATTATTATTCAATATTTTTTGTATTATGTTATATTTTAATTGAAATGTCAAGTATTACTTAAGTTGTAAAATTGATTTTAAAATATTAATATAAGCAGTAAATAGAGTATTAGTTCAATTAATATTGAATCAATATATTTGCATTTTAAGTACGTTTTTTTTGTTGCTAAATTCAATATCATAATTAGCAATATATTTTATAGTATATTAAAAAACTATTAAACCTAATATATATATATATTTTTAAATATGACATGTCTATTTTTATAACTTCTATACAAACATTTAAATTTAATGAAAAAATTGTTTTTAGAAAAAAAAAATTCTAATAAAACTATTTTGTAATATTACTTATTAAATTACAATAATTCAATTTTGACAATAAAATTGTATTTTAATCTAAAATTTAACCTAAAAATAGAAATTATGGTAAATAATACATGACATTTGATTTGTTTAAAATAAAAATCTAAAACTAATAAATCACTAACAAATATAATTTTGTTGTCTATTGAAAGTAATTATTACCGTAAAATTATTTTATTAAACATAAATATGAAATAATGTAAAACATTTTTATTTACAAATTTGATAGTTAAGATATAAAAATACAATTAAGTTAAAATTAGAAAATTTATTTTTCAATATAATAATTATTATTAGCTAATAAAAGTACAACAACAACAATACTGTATAATAAAGTTTTTTTTAAAAATAATTATTTAAATAAATTTTTAGAAATAAAAGTGAACATAAAATTTTATTTCTTTTATATATATAATAAACGCATTGATGGTTAATAAGTGAGACCAATGTATTTAATGTGTTAAAATTAAATTACAGTTATTTTTACACACAATTTTATTATTATTATTATTAATAGTTTTGTTATTGTTGTAACAAAATTTTATAGTATGGTATTAACTTTTACCAATAGATTTTCAATTTTGATTTTTTTAAACTAAATATTTGAGCACAAAGTGTGACCAAATTATAGCTCTTATATAATATTTGCAACAATTATGGATATTACAGACAAATTATTTATTATTATTATAAATTATAGTATATTATGAATATTTATATTCACGAATTAATTTGTAAATGTGATTGATTTTGTAAAATAAATTTTCGTTATTTTATTATTATCTTCTCTTTTTTTGTTAAAAATATTTCTATACAACTGTTTCATATTGTTTAATAGTATTTCAATATAATATATATATAATTTATCATCCATTATATGTTGTATTGATATTGTAATTACACTACAGATTATTACTAATAAAATATGATTTTAAATATATTTTAATTGTTGGTTATTCAGGAAAATCAAATAAAATTTTATTTTAGTACAATTTTGTAAATAACAATTATTGTTTATTGAGATTTTAAAAAATACAATTATATAGTATAATCAATTGCATAAATTATTATTATAAAATAACTTTTAAAAATTTATTTAAAATATATAAAATTTTATTACTAAATAATACAAGTGTTTCTTCAATTGTTATTATGTTTATTATTATTATTAATATAATTTTTATTTAAATAACTTGTAATTTGTGGTTTCTAAATATAACCCAAAAACAATAATTTAATCGCTGATTAACAATATAAAATAAATCTAAATATGAATACAATTTTATTGACACATTATATTTTATTTGTTAAATAAAATGCATTTTCGGATTAAAAAGGTTTGGTTACTATATGTGTGGCTTTAAATTTTGTTCAAATTGTTTTTTTTATTTTTAAAAAATGTAATTTATTAAATATTATTTTTTTTAATTTTATATCTGTTTAAATATACAAGTCTATTGAAAATTTTAAAAAATACAGCCAACAGGCGTATCCTATTAATACTGTATACAGTATATACCGTTATATATAAAAACCAATAGATTATATATAATAGTAATTATTTTAAAGCAAAAGTATATTTAACCGATAAACTAATGACTAAATATTTAATTAGTTTTTATTTATATTTTGTTGATGTTTATAGATATTATTTTTATTTTAAATAAATTACTTAAAAATTTATAGTTAAAAACAATATATATTGTATATATTGATTTATCTGATAAATGATATTTTAAATTGATGTTTATGATTATGTAAATGTAAATGTTTATGTAAATTTTGTTTGTGTGTATATACACATAATTTTAAACTAACAATAATAATAATAATAATAAAAATTATGACAATTAAAGTACTGGGGTTAATAAAGCCGGTAGTAATTAATATTTTTTACATATTAATGAGTTGTAAAATATATTTACAATATTATATATATATATATATATATATATATATATATATATATATATATATTTAAATAAAAACTAATAATTATGATTTGTATGATATTTAATGATATTGTTATATAAAGGATAAATACTTTTGTTTCGTAATTAGTTGTTTTGTATATAATTTAAGTAAATTAGTTCAACCTTTTGGCATCTCTCTCTCTCTCTCTCTCTCTCTCTCTCTCTCTCTCTCTCTCTCTCTCTCTCTCTCTCTCTCTCTCTCTCTAAAATGTTAGCAATTAATAACAATTACTATTACAGCTTGTATTGAAAGTAATACTGTTTAAGATTTGTTGCTTAAAGACATAAACACATAATTTATTTTTTTTATCAGTTTTAACCGATAATTATAATACAAATAATTGGATAGATATTGACACAAAACGTTTAGATAAAAAGAAAGTTGAAAATAATCTAATAATATAACAAAAAACACACAACTATTTATGTTTAATTTATTTGAAAAATGTTTGTTACACTGTATTAACAAATTGTATTTAAAAATATAATAATATAAGCATTAATTAATTTAAGGAATTGCTAAAACCAATTATAAATTTAATAAATCGCCAATTTTCTAGCTTTAAACTATGAAAATTTGTATATTAATTGATAATTTAATTTGTTTTATATAAATATAAAATATTTTTTTTACAAACACATATAGTGTAACTGTAATATAAATATAATATTATATATATATATAATCGATAGTTACTATTATTTTTTACTATATTTATATTATAATTGAAAAATATATTATTTTTAATTAAAAAGCTTATTCAAGTCAATGCACTTTTTATTTAATTATAAAATTATTGATGATAAATATTTAATTTAATTTTCAGATTTAATCTTCTAATTTATAATCTAATTTTGGATCATTTTTTTATATAAAAAACTATAGTTTTTATGTGTGTCTGTGTTTATAAAACTAAATTCAATAATTACACTCAAAATGACAAGTATATCATTATTACATTTCAAACTTACCATTAATTATTAATATACAAGTCTTTGTCAATATATATATATATATATAATACAGTATAACCTCAATATCAATAAGTTGGTGACAAGTATATAGTGTGTCAATTGGTTGTATTAACAATTAATTATCATGTTTAACAGTTAATCTGATTTTTAAAAAATGTGTAATTTTTTTTAACTATTTTACTAAAATAATATTACAATATCTATTAAACTGTTTAATTAATTATATATTTACCACTTTTTTCAATATGCGTGCTTAACTAATATGTTACTATTAAATTAATTAAAAATAAAGTATTTATGTTTTTAAAAAAATATTTAAATTTAATTCTGTATAATAATTAATCATTTTCAGAAAATTTTCATAATGTCAACAAAATAAATGATACCATATCTTTTTATTGAATAATATGTATAATACACTGTATTTAAAATAATTATTTAATATATTTTATAACCATATATAATTGCTTAATTATAAAGTTATTGTTTTTTATGAAAATTAATTATAATAATTTGCAAATGTCATGATGGACATCATGTTTTTTTTAAAATAAAACTATAAGAAAATTTTTAATAAATATAATATAATATTTAAAATATTAACAATTATAATAACTATTAAAAAATAATAATATATTAATTCATATTTATGCTAATATACAAATAATTTATATAATAATTAACAAAAGATTATCATTAAGTATAATTATATTTATTTAAAATAAATTTTATTTATAAATATGTTTAATGATTTTCAAAACACTTTAGTTTAATTAAACTTTAAACTTACAATTGTATACATTTTATAATACTTTATTATTTTGATAATATTTCATTTGAATTGTTTTTATAATTACTTATTAGTTACATATAATTACTTTAGTTTAATAATTATTTAAATAGTTGAGTAGTTCTGTAAATTAATTTATTAAAATTGATATTATTATAAATATTAATAATATATATAAAGTAAATTATATACTGTATTAACTATTTTTCTTTATTAAAATCATTCAAAAGTCAATAATGTATTCATATATTTTTATGATTTACAACATATATTTGACACAATTATAAATTCAAATACATAATACAGTATATATATATTAATTTATACTATTTTTTAAATACAATATATTTTGTAATATAATAATTATTTGTCTAATACTGTCATAAAATTGCTATAAATAAATTGAAATAAATTGAAAACAAAATAAGCCATTAATCAATCATATTTTAAATAAGAATAATACAAATCATAAAAGGTTTTAAATTACAGACAATAATTGATTTTGAAATGAAAATCAATTATAAGTACCAAAAAATATGTTTTGGTTTTACATTTATGGCAATTACAACCATAATTTAAATTTATAAAATAAATAAATAAATACACTTTAAAATTTAAAGTCTAAATAAATGTTAAAATTTTATTTTTATAATAATAATAATTATTATTATAAACTCTGTTTTTAGTAAAAACCATTTAACTCTCGTATATATTAAATGAAATGAATATAATATTTTAAATTAAATTATAAAAATAAAAGCAAACAAAACAACAAAAATGTGAACTAGTTTTTTGAGAGAAACGCTTTAAAACAATAATAATAATATTTTTAGCAAAATATATATATATATAGTATAAAATTTTAATATAAATTAAAAAAAAGTTTTACTTTAAGCCAAAATCTCTATATAAAACTTAAATAACTTTTATAGAAAAATAAAGATAAATTAAAAATTGTTACTCAATTGTGTTCATTATTTTTAATCACCAAAAAAGATAACAATCCTTTTCTTCAAAAAAAACTTAAATAGGATTTTTCATATATTTTTTAATAATAATAATACTAAAATTGAATATATTATATTTGATATTGAAAAAAATTCAATGCAAAATTCCAAGTTTTTCGCCCAAAATTAAATAAAATATATCGATACTATAATATAATATAACTGTTTAAACATATACTGTATATATATAAACTTTTTTTTTGCATAATAAATAAATTGTGTTTTTAGTACATGTATGGCATAAATGTTAAACAAATAAATAATTTTCATAGACATAAATTTATTTATTTATTTAGTTTTTTAAAACAAACAAATAATAATAATGATGACAATTATAATGTCTTGTTAGACATTTGTAGTAACTATTTGTAGGTAATATAAATGATTAATGAATGTCAAACAAAAAAACATGATTTTAACATTTATTACTATATTATATTAAAATATATGTAAACTATTATATTTGATAATATTAGTTACACTCATTATATAATTGGGTTCACAACCATTGCTCTATAATAATAATAATAATGGTTAGAAAATATGTAATTATAGTAGAAAAACATTAAATTCTTGTTGTTATTACTATTGTTATTGTTGTTTGAATTTTATTTTATACTATTTTATATATATTATGTATATATAAATTTATATAAATGATATTATTGTTAAGTGTTTTTTCTTGACAATCATCTCCTAATTCCCATAAATATCACAAACAAACAAAAAAAAAATTATTTTGTTATCTCCTATTTTTTTGATGATTACAAACATGAGCTTAATATTAAATGATGTTTTATTTCACTCTTTTATCGTATTAATATACAATTGTATATACAGTATATATATATATATATATATATATTGTATTAAAACATTTAAATTTAATATTGTTTATAGAATAATATAGTTATTATTTATTTATACAGTATATATATATATACTTATATTATTACAATTACTCTAATATAGTAAGAAATTTCTCGCATTTTTTCGGTGTTACTAATTATAATTGAATTAATTTTTTTTATTATTATTATATATGAAATTCAAGGCTCTTATCATGTGATAAATAATTAATTTGCATTATTATTAAACATATAATCAATTAATGTCAACAACAATAAAACAAATTTAGTTTAGTTTTAATCCTTGAATACAAAGTCCAGACAAAATTTTTTTTTTAATAATTTTAATTTGTATGAAATATTATTGTTATAATCACATTGTAATCAAATCTTAATTGATAGCAAACTTTATTTTTTTAAAACAATATATGCAGTTTATACTATTGAAATATAGATAACTCATATTAAAAAAAATAGTATAATAATATAATATTCAATAGTTAATTTTATACTTTAATTATTATAATATTTTTCTAATTTTTCTAATAATATCACTTTAGATAATACGGTGTGAAATCTTTTTTTACTATAATATGATTTGAATAATCACCCTGACCTCCAAGTGCTCACAATAGTATATCTAAACAACAAAAACGTATAGTTTTTTTCAAAAATAATATTAACATATCATCTGACAAAAAACACATATTATTCCCATATTATAAATTAAAATTCAATTAATATACATACAATTATTAGTAGTACTATATTATACATTTAAATTTCAATTATTATTTAATTATGATTTTTTTTGTCTGAAAATAACTGGAAAATTGTTTAACACGTTTATAAAAATGTTTGCCGAAATTTTTTTAAAAAAATTTATACAATTTTTCTGCTTAACATTTATTAACTGTTTGTGTAATTGTTGAGAGAAAATGTGTCTTTTTTTGAGATGAGATGTGTGTCCTATAAGACATAATTCATAGTGAAAGAGGTCAATGAGTCCGATACCTGTATTATATATATTATATATACCATATATTGACTCCATGTGCCCCATAACTGTCCATTAATCCTTATATTTATATGCCCTTCAAAAATAACTATTATTTTGTTGTTATTATTATTTTATTTTAAAAATATGCTATAATATTGTTCGTTAAACAACAAACACATACAAAACATCATATATATATATATATCTCTCTCTCTCTTTCTCTTTTTATTATAAAAATAAATTTTATACTAAATTTAGTAACAATTGTTAATATCATAGAATAAAAGCAAAATTTTTTAGAAAAAATAATCGAAAATTATAGAAAAAAATTCAACAATAAAATAGTCACAAAAATAAGAAATTAAATCATGAAATTTCTCTTCAAAAAAAATATAAATAAAAAATATAAATAATAATTTATATACAGTACATATTTTGCATAATATATTAAATTTGATTTTATTATAAAAATATTTTTAATCCTTTTATTACAGCATTATTACATCACGTATTTGTAATATTCAAAAAATAAATTACTTCAATAGCAAATAATATACAGTTTATTATTATTATGAAGTTTTTTCCCTTAAATATATTTATTGCAAAGTTATGGTTAAATTTGTTAGTAAATTATTTTGAATAAATAGTAATTATAAAAAAATTATAATAATAACTAAATAATAATAAACAAACATTTAATAGTGCATATAATGATTTAACGTGTAAACTAATTTTATGTTACACATATTTTTATGATTATTATTTGTATTTTGTTGTGCATATAATGTATAGTGTTTGTAACATCAATTTATTATATTTAATGTAAGATATAACAATATATTATAAAATAAAATAAAATACCATATTGTTAAAAAAAATTAATTAATAATAGATAAATGCAAAAAAGATAAATAATACTAAAATTATTATTATTGATTTGATAGCAAACTGTATCTGTAATAATACTAATAACATAAGTGTAACAAAAAAATATTATAACTATTATATTTTTTAAGGGTCTATCTATCACACCATTAATGCCACACAAGTAGATACTGTAAATAATAATAATAATAATATAGTTTAGTATTAAATAGATTTTTAAGGTTAATTGTAATATTTATAAAAATTTAGTTTTATAATGATTGTAAAGTTATAAAAAAATATTTTCAAATAATTTGTAACATATGGTTTAAACTAAAATAATATTATGTGATTAACGATTAAGTTTTTTTGATGTCTTAAAAATAATAAATTATTTTTTTAAAAATCATATCTGACTGCTAAAAAATTATACAAATAATATATCTGTATAAATTTATAATTATTAAATATTATACATTATATAAAATACAGAAAATTAAATTATTACAGTTTTTTATGTTAAATATTATAAAAGTAAATAAATACAATAATGAAAAAATAACAATTATTTATCATAATTAGGATCATATACTGGAAGTGTTGAAGAAATGGGACCAAATTGATGACGAGATTTGGGCCAAAATCATATGTATGGAGCGTAACCATCGAGTGGCCAAAGCGTACGCCCGATCGGCAACATTACAGGTCAATGGCTCGGATCAAGGGTTTAGTGACTCTCATATCGGACTCAATGGGTTTACCAATGCTAGGGATAAGCGTCTGAATTATGTGCGACAGTATGTCAGGCAAGGGATACGGCTTAAAGTTGAACAGTCGGGTCAGTAGTCATATATTATGGGTTATCAAGTTTTCTATTATAATTACATTTATTATATATAATATATAATATCAATCACATTTATATAGTCTAAGTTTTATTATTGTTAACTATTAAATAATTATTTTATAATTTTTAGTTAAACTATTAAATATATTTTTTTTGTATGACATAAAATAGAAATTATATTTTTGTTATTATAATAATAGCAACTATTAGCTCATTAAATGACTAATAATTCATATATTTTTCATATTTTACAAAATTTATTATTCATAACAATTTATTGAAAGAAGAGAAACAAAAATTAATTGACATTTATTTTTGGAAATATAATTTAGTTTTGATCACAATTTATTATTAAAAACAACAACAAAAACTAAAAAAATCCTTAATTTAAATAAAAATAATAATTTCTTTATATATATACTATTATTTATTGGTGTTGATTATGATATATGAGTTGAAAAACATTTTATTTTTTTAAAACCTTAACTATAACTATAAGGGAGCCATCAATCGTTACGCTTAAACCAACTCATATAAAAATGGCATATATTGTTATAAGATATTTTAAAAAATATGTATATTATTAATTTTGCCACAAAAATAGCTATTTATAAAAAATGTGTTGCTCATTATACTAGCTTATTATTATTATTATTATTATTATTATTTAAAATAATACATTATTCATTTGAATAATATTTGGCATTTTTTTATTATTTATTTTTTGATATATTTATATGTATTACACATATATTTATTATAATTATTATTACTATTATTATTCAATTCATTTTTTCTGCTGTTATGAAAATGCATTCAATTTCATGAATATATGAATGAATTATTGTTTGAAAACTCATACAAGAATTTTAATTATTACCATAAATTATAAATATTTTTTTGTTTGTTATTATTATTATTTTTAAATAACTATAACAATATAAAAATAATTATAAAAGTTTCTATAAATAACTCTATGTATTGTCAAGTTTATTTTATTAGGATAAATAAAAAAATATTATTTTGAAAAGTTAGTTTTCTTAAAATTTTATTTTTATTTTGTAACAAAATTTATATATATATATATTAAATTCACATTAAATATTATACTAACAATTGTTTGATCATATAATTACAGGCGATATCATTATTGAAAGACTAAACAAGAGTAGCGTTTTTGTAAAAAAGTTTGACAACCTGTCCACCACTACTACCACTGCCGGCATTACTGGCCCTAACCTAATGGTCGCCAATCATCAGAGTATAGCTTTAGACTATCAGAAACCGGTAAAACTGTTTGATATGAAGCGCTTCCGGTTGGATGTGATCCAGGAGTTGGCGACCGCTTCATATCCCGACCGTAAATACTTGGAGCGCAAGTGTGTGTCGAGTGTAGCCTTTGTCAGGGATTCGCCGCATATTTTGCAAACACCGATCTGGTGTCTGGTCATCAATATCTTAGCACTGGATCTGTTAAAATCCAGACTAACAACACGTACGTACGCGGCCTGACATGTCTATCAAAAAAATATCACTTTGCATTGCATGACTTTCCCACATAAATCCTAAATATAACTTATCTTTCCTTATATCGATTAACACCTAAAATGCCAATTCCTAAGCTATTTTGTTTTTCCTGATAATTAATGTCAAATATATTTCAAGGCTTACCCCACACACACACACACACACACACACACACACACAACCTATCTATCACTTTGAAAGAGTAGTAAAACATTGACTTTCATTTCAATCATTTTATTTTTTGTTTAATTTTTTTCTCACGTTTTATTTTGCTTTATATAAATTTATATATTTCATTGCTTTAGAAAATTCAATTTTATGCCAATCTTTGAACAAAAAAACCCATTTATATTTAATTCAAAAATATCTAATAACCCTATTATTAAATAATAATATTATTGACAATTTTTTTTAATTTCTTATTTCCTCTTTTATATATAACTATAGCAATCAAATGTCTGCAACCATTGAGAACCAATAAGTCGTTGTCTGATGATGTGAAAGCCCTGAGCTCTGTGGGCACCGATCATCAAACAGTGATTGACAGCCATAACAAGGATATCACTTACGGTTTGGCAAAAAACGATTATAACATCTATAGTAATAATAATAATAAAAGTAATCATCAAAATATCAATAAAAACTACAATAAATACAACAACAATAATGCTAACAATGATAACATCAATAATAATAATAACAATAAAAGCTCTAATAATAATCAATTGTTATCGAGTTTACCAAACACTAAGACAACATTCATTGATGATTATAACAACTCTTTAGATGACATTAACAGTTTGTATCCTATTTTATGCTTATGTTTCATATTATTTAATAATTTTATCTCTCATTTTAATAATAAATGAAATTTTATTTTTATTGTTGATTAAGAATTATGTTATGACAGAAAAAATCTTAACTCTATTATTATTATATCATATAATATCTATAGTTTTGAAAAATTTTGATGATTGTTACAAATTTAGATTTATTTAGATTTTTATAAAAATAAAATACTGAGTATATTATATTTAAAATATTATATTTAAATTATTATATTTCGTTATACACCCATTTATAATGCCCACACATATAATGCCATTTATGATAGTGAGAGGCAATCAAAATGATAACAAAATTAGTGTATCTCTTGGGATAATCATGTGTTGATAAGTCATGAAATGGGAAACTACTACAGGAATAGCCCTTTCCTATTGTATTAAAAAAAGTTTTTATTTTTTTGTTTGAATAATTGATATATTTTTTATAAATCTTAAGTATATAACATTGTTATACAAAATACCGTATATTAACATTATGGTTTAATTTTTTAGGCACTTAATATAGCATATATTATATTATATATATCTTTATTACGATGATCTAGATTTATAATAATAATTATTATTATTATAATTGTTTATCAGAAATATTATAATATTATTTCTATTATTAAACAATTACGCTAACTCTTAATAAACCAAAATTTTATCATTTGGGAAATTGAAATATATAAGTTTTAAAAAAATATTTTATTTTTGTTATTATCTCAACACTAATTATATACTATTTTAACTTTAAATATATTTACTTAACATATATCATAACATAATATTAATAATAATAATAACAATTTATAAAATCTACTATACTATTAACTTATATACAAAGTATTGCATTAATATTTATTACACACTATTACTTATACCAATATATCTCACTAACTATAATAAAAATATCATTAAGAAAAATCTTTTATATATATATTAAATGTTTGTTTTGTTAATATAGTTATATATTATGTTAATATGTTATATAAGTTTTTTCCCAAATGATTTAGTTTGATGTATATTACGGGACAATGCAATAAATATGTAATCCTTGACCTCTATTTTGTTGTGTATAACAAACAATAATAGACACCACTTTTTCTCATAATATATAATTCATATAATATTATTACGAGTATATAAATATCATTATTTAAAAAATATATTTTTGTTATAAATTATTAGGCGATTTATATTACATGGGAATCAAAGCCCGTTTCGCCAATTCAGCCAAAAGTCGGGCATCATTTGCCTTTCCCTTTGAGTTGAGGTCACGATCGACCAATTCAGACGATTTGTGTACTAAAAGCAAATCAGATGAGGGCCGGTATGTCGACATTAAACTGGATATCATTGGTTTGAGTCATTGATTTATAATTCAAAATTTATTATTATTTAAATTAATTAATTCCTATAAATAATATTTAATTTTTTATCCTATAAATACAGATCGACTGATAATAGATGGTAATAAAGTACGAAAATTTCGTATCCCATCCTCAGCATTGAAACCCAAGAAAAAATAATAATTTTTTAAAATATTAAACACATTGTGAAAAAAATAATTAATTAATTTTGTGCTGATATAACTAAAAAAATGTACAGGGTTAATTTTTTCAAAAATAATTTTTTTGTCAACATGTTAACATTATCTTTTTTAATTACTATTATTAATAATAATTGTACTTATAAATAACATTAATTATGTCCATTCATTATACATATAATTTTTATTAATTAAGAAAAATTTGTTATTTTTATCACATTTATATTTAATATATAAATATTATATAATAATATAACAATGTTTATCATATTCTAAAAGATAATAAATTCATTTTTTATACATTTGTATATAAAAAAATTATCTCAACTAATGATTAATAATTAAAACTATTATAACTTATTAGAAATTAATATAAATACATTATACAGTATACATAACTTATATATAACTTTATATATACCAGTATATAAATATTAATAGATAATTAATTTTTTGAATTATAGTCAATTGTTTAGATTGAATAAGTATTTATTTTACATTATACCGAATGAATCTTAAGTTTTGTCACCAAATGTGATAATTTATCTAAAGTCGATTGTTTTATTTTTTAAAAATTATTTCTTTATATAAATTATTGGTTGCATTTGGTGTCGATTGGCGACAATAAACTCTCAGGGCTTCTATAAATGTATAAAATTTTGTTTAATATTTTTTTATGGATTAGATACTGTAAATTTAACTCATATAAAAAATTATATTTTATTTTACATTTATGGATCTGTTTATATGGAAATTAAATATATATACAGTATATATTTTAAATAGACTTATCATCATCTGATTGGTCATATATTTCAGTTTTTACAGTCCATTCAATTTTGTTATGATTTGCAATACTAACACTTTTATTATTTTTTGTCATTTGTTTCTTTAAGACATATTACTTAAGACATTATTATTCCTATCATTTCTATGCCTATCACTTCTATCCCTAACAGTATTATCCCTACTGTTCCTATGTCTACCATTTCTGTCTTTATCACTCTTTTTTCTTTCATTATTATTTCTATCACTTATATCTATATCTTTATAACTTCTATTTCTATCATTTCTATATCTATCACTACTATCCCTACCATTCCTATCCATATCAGACATATCTCTATCATTTCTGTATCTATCACTTCTATCCCTATCAGTCCCATTTCTATCAGTTTTATCTTTACTATCTCTATCTTTCATATTTCTATCACTAATACTCCTATATCTATCAAATCTATCTTTATTAGTCCAATCTCTATGACTCCCATTCATATTACTACTATTCCTATCACTTCTAACTCTATCACTATTATCCTTATCAGTTCAATCTCTATCATCTCTATCCCTATCACTTCTATTACTACTATTAATACAAAATTTTTTTATCACTTTTTCTTTTATATCTCGGTTCAGACCTATTAGGATGACTTTAATTACTGCTGTGTCTGTATTCATGGGTTACAATGCAATTGTCGTCGACATATAGATGGGAGACTTCGGCGTAACGATTGTTTAATACACGAAATATGCGATTAGAGTTAAACACATGAAAATCAGTTATATTTCTAATGAGATCATTGCCTTTACTTTGTTTTTTAATGTAAATAAGTTATCATAAATTGTATACTTTTAATGGTAAAATCAATTTTAAACTGGTGCTTACATTGAAAACGATCACAATGTATTTCCAACTTTGTATGATCCCTGTATGTCAAATAATTTACCATGATCAATTGAATAGCGTAGATCATACATATTTGATAATAATACTATAAATAATATACAAATAATTTATTAGATTATGCGACTAATTTTTTTTATAATGATTAGTTGATTTAATTATTTATTATATTATTATTATTTACATAAATTTATATCTACTATACAATCATAATGTTTTCAAAATTAATTTTTTTTATTTAAAAAAAATGAAATACCTTTTCAAAGTCAATGGTTAGAAAATCGTTTTCACTAAAGAAAACATAAGATTTTTGAACCAAAATGTGTTTCGTCTTCTTCTTTAAATTTCAGATCAATTATCAAGTCTTCGACCACTTGACGAGCATTTGGCCGAATTTGGGTCAATAGTATGTCGTATATCGACGACATTAGTCGTATTGGCCACCATTGGCTTTGACCAGCACTTCTAGATAGGCTTATCATAAGATAATCAATTAAAGAAAACAAATTACAAACTTGAAGACAAACTTTATTAATTAAATTATTATTATTATATATTTTTTGTGATTAAGTTTATACTGTTTATACGATTGAACTGGTATTGTAAATCTAATGGCATATTTTCTGTCAAAATATAGTTAATAGTCGTAGCACTTGAGGACAGTGTTAAACTTTCGGACAGTGGTTCGGGTGTTCTCTAACTTTGATGTCTTACTTTCATAAATGATTTATTTTATAATAGTAAAAATCTTACTAATAGTGACACTTGAGGAATGACCAGTTATTATCCAACAATAGTCCAGTAAATCTCATATACACGAGTTGTGTAATATTATGTGACACTGACTTTTGTATCCAATTACTTGTAAATTACGACACCATATATTGAAAAATGTTATCTCATTTAATTATTTTTGGTGTAAAATTTTACTATACTTTTTTAGTTTCAACACTAATCAGGTCCTCTTAGTAAAATCTATAACTACTATCAAATGCGAGGATCATTGCTTTAATCACAACAACAACAAAATATATTTATTTAAAAAAAATTAAATTGTAATTTTTAAATATACCTAAAAAATTGTGCCTTTCATTTGCAACCGTTTTGTTTAATATCATAAAAGTGTAGCCTCTTTGTCATCTGCGAACCAACCCATTTGTCCAGTTCCTCAATATCCTTGACTCTAGTACCCAGGTCAGATATATAAATTGTATAGAGTTCTAGTGTTAAGTTAACTATCAAAAGATAATTGTTGGATATATTGTATTTTAACAAAAAACCAAAAAAAAATTTAATTAATTATTGAAACACCTTTAGAGTTATCACCATTGAATGATTTGCACAAATAGATAACAATATATTTATCATTATCGGTGACCAATAAATATGTCATCAAACTGCTGTTACCACTGTCTCGAAGTCGACTGCGACCATCCGATAGGTATGTGTGCTTGAATTGATCGCCTGATTCCATACTAAAAGAGTATATACAGTATATATGATATATAAATAATGGGTTATTCTAGTCAGTCACTGGTATCACACTTACATGTCATCCATATACTGTACATTTGGTTTTTATTGTCTTTAATTAATAAAACTAATGAAACCGTAGTCTATTTGACTTATGTGTGTAATGTAATTAAAAACAATAGTTTTACATAATATTTATACATATAATTTAATAATTATAATAAACTATAATTATTATTTATTTATTTTTTGCAATTTCTATATAAACTTCTTTGATAGTACTAAATGGCACTGTCATCAAAATTAACACAATCACGTGCTAACACGTGCAACAATTGTATATGGCTAACGACTAGTATTAAAATTAGTGTAAATAAATTATAGATTAATAAATAAGTTGACATGTTTATTTAGTTTAATAATAACACCATATAATGTTTGATTATGTTGTTTTTTAATATTATGATTTTATAAATGTAATTCAATTAAACATTTTAATTAAATAATAATATTCTAATACTACACATAGCGGTATTAAATATCTTTAGTTATTAATTTAATTTAAAAATATATAATAATATAATTTACAAATAAAGCATAATAAATATTGATATAATTTATATCATGTACAATTATATATAAAATATAATGTATAATTAATTAAATAAATATTTCCAAGCTTCAATTGTGATTTAATTTTAAAATTGTAATAACTAGTAAATATTAATACATAAGTTTTTATTTATAATAATTGTGTGAACAAAAATTAAACTCAAAAATTTTAAAAAAATATATATTTTAATAATCAATATAATTGTCTTTCAGCAGTAGTTGAAAATTTGTGTATCAATAGAAAGAAACGACACGATAATACATATATCTATAAAATTACAAAACAATTATTTAATTATTAGAATATTTGTTATATTATTGAAATTATTTTTATAAAAAAACAAACAAAAATTAAATTCCTACCCTAAATGTATTAAAGGGTGTCATATAAAATTGATTGCCACACGTAAACCCTATGATATGGTCTCTACTACACAATCTCTCTATTACTGATAATAGCTTTTAATTGTGTCCATAGTATTAGTAAACAAAATAATAGTATAAATATTATGCAAATCATTACATATAATACTTACTTTTAATTTTGCTTTTAAATCATTCATTAGTAATATTCTGTGATATAGTTTGCGTAATGTTTTGCCCGAAACTATTGCACAGCTATACACATGGGATGGGATAATATTCAACATAAGCACACATATCATCACAATTATCAATGTTATTGTTGTAATACTTCTCGTATAGTTTAACTGTTCAAAAACTAACTGATTCAATAAAAACAACTGTAACGGTACCGATGTATAGATAAATATAAAATAGATTTTATGCCAAAACACATTTAACATATATATTGTATTTATAGCATTTGTATAGCTTGTATACAAATGTTTAATTTGATATTTATTGTTGAAAAATTTAAATCTCAATAAATTACAGGTATTATAGTTTAAGGATTTAATCCATATAATACAATACAGACATACTATTAGAAAATATCCTAAAAGTATGTAGAATTGAAAACAACAATTTTTGAACCAATAATGAAAAATCAAAGCCGACATTAGTCCATATTTAAGCATATTTTCAAAATCATA